CGCTGTGGGTGGACATGGAGTGGGGCCCCGAGCTCTCGCTCAGGCCGTAGATCTCGCCTATGGGGATGTCCAGGCTCAGGAAGAACTCGGACGTGCTCTCGGGCAGCGGCGCGGCCCCGCTGAGGAAGGCGCGGCAGCGCTCCAGGCCCAGGGAGCTGCGGACCCTGCTGTACACCAGCGCCTTGGCCATGTGGTAGCCCAGCGGCAGGTCGCGTTTCCTGCGGGCCAAGGACGTCCTGGGGCGGCGGGACGGCGGGGCTGCCCCGCCCGGGCCTGGCCTCCACCTACCCGAGCATCCGTTTGGTGTTGACCTTCAGGCCCGTGTCCTTTGCCCACGTGAAGGCCTTCTTCCTCAAGCTGGAGGCCTTGGCCAGGTTGTCCTTGATGGTGTCGTGCATCTTCTCCCAGATGCGGGGCACCCCCAGGAAGATGGTAGGCTTTATCTCCTTCAGGGTGTGCACCAGTGTGCCCTGCGCGGACGGTCGGGGCAGGTCGGGTCGGGCAGGGGCAGGCCCCGGGTGCCGTGGCGGGACGTGAGCCGGGGTGTGGCACAGCCCGAGGACCTTCCCCTCAAGGACTGGACAGCGCGAGTCCCACGGGAGCTCCTGCTCTCCAGGGCTCGGATGTGGCACCCACACCGGGAAGATGCTTGGAAGTGAGTCAGGGGGTTAGCTGAATGAAAGACTTGGATACACAGAGAAAGGCAAACAAGATGTGATTTGTGGCATAATGGGAACAACTTGCATGTTAAGCAAGTGGGATCAGCTAAAGAAACTGCCCAAGCTTGTAACGGGACAGTATGCAGTTGTGAAAAATAATAATTAAAAAAGCAAGATTCACCTCCCAGCTGATCTTTTGATCCCGCAATCCCTGTCCAAATCCATGCAGGAGGTCATGTACAAATCAACAGGCGATCTTATGTTTTACATAGAAAAGCCAGGCTACCAACAGGCAAAGCGATTTGAGAGAAGAACAAAATCAGAGGCTCCTACCTAGTTTTAAAACTTACTATAAAATAGGCTAATCCACTGTGCAGGCTTTCCCAGAACTGAGGGGGTTCCAGAAATGCAAGACTTTCAGTTTAAAAAGTGGGGAGTCCCCAGGCATCCCCAGGCACACTGGGACAGGTCGCTCACCCTGATACAAAGTGCCATGACCAAGGCAGTGGGTTTTGGCCTAAGGATGGCCGTGCTGCTCAAGGGAGCAGAGCAGAAGTCCCGCAAGAAACCTTCCATTTATAAACCAATTTTCAATAACGTGCCGAGGACTGCAGGGCAGAGAGAGGGACTCCACACAGTGAGCCAGGGGGCTCCGCTTGGCAACACTAAAACTGAAATGGGCATCGCCCTGAAGTGGAAGTGATAAAACAAATCCTTCTAGAGGAAAAGAGAAGAAAATCTCTGTGATGTTAGCATGAGCCAAGATTTCCTAGATACCAGAACAAAAGCATAAAAGGGGGAACCCTAAGTGGGTCTCATTCAAGTTAAACACTTGTCACTCTTCAAAAGACTATGACGAAAACAGAGATACACACCACAGGACCAGGAGAGCACCTGTGAGTCTTCTATTTGATAAAGAATTCATGGTGGTGGTGGGGGGTGCTCAGTGGTAGAGCGCTGGCCCGGCACAGGTGAGGCTCTGGGTTTGATCCTCAGCACTGCATAAAAGTAAATAAAATAAAGGTATTGTGTAATTACAAAGAAAATTTTTAAAAATCATAACCAGAATATGTAAAGAACTCTTAAAATCAACACTAAGGTTAAATATCCAACCAAAATTTAAAATGCAAAAGAGTCAAACGGACATTTCTCCAAAGAAGATATACACATAGCCAATAAACACAGGGAAAGATCTTCCCATCACTGGCCATTAGGGAAGTGCAAGTTAAAGTCATAAGGCACCACTTTGCACCCATTAGAATGGCCGTCAAGTAATTTTAAGTGGATACGTGCTCCGGGCACCCATGGAGAAACCAGACCTTCATACTCCCCCGTGGATGTGAAGTGCTGCGGCTACTGTGAAACACACAGGCACATCCTTAAACCGCAAGACCCGTCAGCACAACTCTGATTGACAATTAAAAACTCTGACACTATTAGGGACTGATAAGGATGTGGGAAGATGGAACTTCTTGGATCCTGTAGGTGACTGTGGATACTTTATGCATTCAGTTAAAAAAATAAAAAAGCATGCCTTATCGAGTAACTGCAGTGGCTTAAGCACCGAGCAGAGGGGACAGGAGAGTGACTGAGAGACCGAGGAAGCAGTCAGGCAAAGAATGAAGAGACAGGGAGAGTCAGCCACTCACAGAACAGAAGGCAGAACAAAGGCCTCCCCCCAAATGTGTCCTCCTCACCCTAACCCCCAGAACTGGTGATGACCATGACTTTGGGGACAGAAGGGTCTTTGCAGATGTGGCTGAGTTGAGGGGTTGAACCCAAGCCCCCTCATCACTGAGCTACACCTCGAGATCTCTAGTCTTTTTTTTTTTTTAATTGAGTCAGGGTCTTGCTCAGTTTCTGGGGCTACCCTTGAGCTTGAGATCCTTGTGTCTCAGCCTCCCAAGTTCCTGGGACTACAGGTACGGGCCACCAAGCCCAGCAGAGTTGAGAATCTTGAATGGGGACATTTCCCGAATCATCCGGGCAGCCCAGTGTCATCACAAGGTCCTTGCAAGGGGGGGCCAGGAGGCCAGAGTCAGGGACATGTGTTGATGGAAGCCAACTGTGGAGGAGGGTGGAGAGGGGAAGATCCCGCACCGCTGACTCAGCAGGTGGAGGGAGGCCACCACTGAGGAGGGGAAGGAAGGAAATGGTTCTCCCCAAGGCCTCCCAGACAGAACCACCCCAGGACACCGAGAGAGAGGCATTTCGGACGGACTTCCGACCCCCAGAGCCGTAACATAATAAAAGTGTGCCTTGCTAAGCCACAACTGTGCGGTCAGTGACGTGGCAGTACCAGGGAGTTCTGGGTGCAGCAGGGGCCGCCGGAACTCCAGAGTTTGCAAAGTCCAGACACAAAAGAAATCAAAATTCCTCTCACAGAATTACTCTGGAAAAGCTTCCATGGGCGATCTCCAGCCACATGAAGGAATATCCAAAAACAGGACACAGTGACCCTGGAAAACAGACCACAGTGTGGGGGAAGGGTAGCCCTGCATGGCGGCTTGTAGAAGGTGCTGTGGGTGTTCTGGCCTGGTCCCCACAGGGCACAGTGTCTTCTTTTTGGGGAGGCGGCCTTACTCAGAAAGGCCTGGCAAGTTGCGCTCCCCCGTGGTGCGTGGGACTACAACCAGTGACTCTCTGAGACACAGACCCCAGTCTTCCTGGCCCAAGTGGGGCGACTCTGTGCTGCATTCATGTCTTAGGGCTTCCCATGGATTGAAGGAGGTTTTAGTCCAGCCAAACCGACACCCTTTCTTGGCTTCTTCCCCTGACCTTCTCTGCTCCTCTCCTTTCACTTGAAGCTTCCTCTCAGTAAATCACAAAAATACCCATCTCAGATTTTGCTTCTATGTGGTCCAACCTAGGACAACAGCCGTCCAGATTAGAGCTAAGAATTGAAGGGGGAAAAAGGCAACTTTTTTTGACCATTTGAAAAAATGCCAATGAACACGGGCTGGATCAAATGGAGCGACTGGACTGGTGTGCAAAAATGTCACCAAATTGAAAACGAAAAGCAAGTATTAACTCTAGGAAAACCAAAAAGTTGTACCCGACAGGGAAACATAACCATACAGTGAAGTGCTGGGCTAAACTGTTAAGAATGATTGACCCCGAGAGGATGGGAAGGGAGATGTGTGGAAACGGGGGAGAAAAGGAAGTCAATTTTTACTTACCACAGTGGAAAGGTAATTGATGATATTTAACATTCAATAAATCAAGAAAAGATGGTATCACATATTCAAGGAATCTTGAAGCAGAAGACAAGGACTGAGGAAAAAGCCTCATAGACCCAGAGCTTAGCAGGACACCTGTTCCCTGGAGGGACAGCCCTCCACCCCTGGGGCCGCCCGGAGGATGCCGTGGGGCCCAGGTCCTCACTCAGCCTTACCTTGAGCGCATCTGATTCAGCAAAGTAAATGACAGCGCCGATCTTTATGGGCACCCACATGTCCATCATCTGCGCTGCAATATGGCTGAGGGGCAGGTAGCTGACCACCACCTCCTGATGCTCGGGGGTGGCCGTCAGCTCCAGGTCCCTCACCACTGCTCCAGCCATCCACGTGATCTAGAACACAAGAGACGCCCACAGGCCCTCACCTCCCCTCCCCCCAGTCCGGCTCTGCAGCTCCAAGCTGCCACTCGGCCCTGCTCCCAGCACCTGGGGTCCGTGGCTCCCTGTTCCCCAGCCCGTCTCACAGATGGGGAGCAGCAGCACAGGGCAGTGCCACTAGCAATGTGTGAGTGTGCCTTTCTCCCTACGTCCTCACCAACATTTGTTGTTCCTTGTCAGTGCAGTTTTAATTTGCGTTTCTCTAATTGCTAGAGATGTTGAACTTTTTTTTATACATTTGTTGACCATTTGTATTTCTTCTTCTGTGAAGTGTTTATTCAGTTCTTTTGCCCATCTATTAATTGGGTTATTTATTTGTGTGTGTAATATTATTTTTTTCAGTTTTTTGTGTATCCTGGAGATTAACGCTCTGAGGTGCAAGTGACTAAGATTTTTTTCCCATTCTGTAGGCTTTCCATGTTTTTGACTGTTTCCTTTGCTGTGAAGAAGCTTTTTAGCTTGATACAATTCCATTCACCGATTCTTGGTTCTTTCTTGTGCTTTAGTAGTCTTGTTGGGGAATTTGTTTACTACATTCGTCTAAGATCTTGGTTTTTACAGACATCTGATTAATTTACAAAGCTAAAGTGTTAAAATATCAACCTCTAAATATAAAACCAAGTACTCTTTACTTATTAAGTTCCATAAGATAATATATTTAAACATTATGTGCGTTTTCATAAATTGGTAAATGGAAAAAAAGTTTAATATTGCTTTGGTCTGTGTCTTTGCTGACACAAGGTTACTAAGAGTTAAGATTCTATCATGGGTAATTTATATACAAAGAGTATAAGAAGTTTCAGTTGGGTTTCAATTATAGTATTACAGTACCATAAAAAAAAAACATGAAAGTATTTCATCTTATTAAGTGGAGTAATTTGTCTTAATCAGAAATTTTATAAGAGTTGTTTCAGAATGTGAATTTATAAAAAGGGTTAATGGCTAGAAAAGAGATATTAAAAGATTCAAGATGTGAAAATATATTTTAATATGGAAGGTTAAAAGAAAAAAATGTTTCTAGATGAGATAATCTCTGTGTGGTAAAGAAAAAGTTGAAAAAGGCCATTTAAAAAGATTTTGAGGAAACTAGACTTACTTTAAAAGCTTGAGAAAGGAAGAAAGAAGAAAAAGGTGTTTGTATATGGCAGATCGAGACAAAGCTTCTTAATGGAGTAAAAAAAAAAAAGCCTTTGGTTGAAGGGCAGCCATGTAAACTAACATTAAAGCGATTTAAACAGAATCTAAGCCTCGTTTAAAAGAGTGAAGCTGTAGGTGGTGAAAAAGTACATGTAAAAGTACAGTATGGATGATAATTGGAGGCTTTAAAAGGTTAAACTGAAGGTGGTTGAGATACCTTCATGGCGGAAAAAAGAAAAAAGAGATATAAAAAGATTCAAGATGTGGAAATATATTTTAATATGGAAGGTTATAAGAAAAAGAAATGTTTCTAGATGAGATAATCTTTGTGTGGTAAAACAAAAAGTTGTAAAATGTCTAAGTAAGTTGCAAAAGGCTTTAAAAGGTTAAATTGAAGGTGGTTAAGATGCCTTCACGACGGAGGAAAGATTGCGTCATTCGAAGCCTAGTTAATCTTAAAAGCATTACTTTAAAAAAAAACATGAAAATGGGAAGATAATAGGATAAAAGATATTTAGATAAAGAAGATTAAAAATTTGAAGTGGAAAACTTTAAAAACAGAAGTACAGAAAGGTAAAAAAAAGAGAGAGAAGATGTAGAAAGATAAAAAAGATATAGGAAGATAAAAAAGATGTAGAAAGACAAGAATTTTAAACCCACAAAATAGGAAACAAAAGAAAACTAGGAGAGAAAAAAGCAACTAAGGGTAAATATAAAAACCTTAGAAGAAAACTAGAAGATAGAAATAAGATAGAAAATGGTTGAAAATGTCAAATAAAGGTATTTCAGATAGAAAATGCAAAAGGCTAAGATAACTATTAGATACAGACATTCAAGATAGAAAAAGGTAGAAGAGAGAATTTTAAAGTCAAATATTGGATAAAATAGAAGAACAAGGAGATTATTAGTAATTTTTTTCAAAAAGCCCATCAACTTTAATTTCTGGTGGTGCAGAAATTAGAAGTCTCAGATGAGGGTGTTAAAATTTATAGACAAGAGCCAATTTAGAAAACATTAAACTAGAAGGAAATTGGTTTAAAACCACATCAAAAAATTAAAAGGACTAAAATAATTCTAAAAACTAAGGCAGAATGCTTTTGAAAGACTTAAATTTAAAAGGATCTTTAAGGGGTATATATCCCCCAAAGATAAACTTAAAATAACCCTTTTTACTCTAAACTTTTTAAATTTGGATTCATCAGGACTTAGTGCTGCAGAAAGGCACATGTGTCCAAAAAATGTACATAAGCCCAAGGTACTTTGGAAAGATATTCTAACAGGACAATGGAAAGGTCCTGACCCAGTGATTGTCTGGAGTCGGGTTCTGTTTGTGTTTTTCCACAGGGAGAACAGCAGCCGATTTGGATTCCAGAGAGATTAACTAAAGCAATTTCTACAGAAAAAGAAGATGATTTGACTCAAATCCATAACAGCTGATATCCAGAGCTCCAGCTTGGCTATTCTTACATCTGTGACAATGATTAACCAGGGTGCTTTTTTCAATATCTATTTTATTATTGCATTTTCCCACATCATAAAGTTGTATTTTATTTTTTGAGCTCATAAAGACCTAGGTTAATGTTTTTCTGATCAGTTTTATTTTTTGACTGTGGAGTTTTTAAACATTGCAATGGAGATTTCACCTAGGTAAAGCTACAAGGCCTTTACTATTGTCTTATGTGTTGTACGTTTGTGTGCACTCTTGTGTTTTGTGTTGTATGTCTGTGTGTGCATATGTCCATATAACATATATGAGGAGCGCTCATGAAAAAATGGATCCGAATTTTTTTTTATTATTCACGTGATTTAAATGGTTTAATTTAAATTAGGTAAACAGCTGTTAAGGATTGTTTTTAAAGGTGGTTAACAGATCTGTTTGTTTACTTTCACCTTTCCTTCTCATTATATTTAATAATTCTGTTCAGGATAATGTCTCTTTAGCATCATTGCCAGAATTCCCATCTCCATCCCAGTGCCGGTGAAGACTAAGATAAAACCAAACTACAGCTTCTATGATAGCCACCACAGTAAACTGTGTAAACTGATGCATCAATGAATATAACTCAACAAGTAATGCTCAATCAAGGACTGGATTTGCTTTGGGAGGAAATGGACATATTGATAGACTCCTCCGCTTTGAACTGCTTGCAGTGGTAGTGCTGATGGTGTCACCAGTGATGCAATTTTTGCAATTTTTCCGTCAAATGGCTTGGTGTTGTGGCATTTCTGTATCCTCCTCCCTTCTGCTAGTGATGGTCTAAACTTGGGGGCCAACAGAGGTGAGGCAAGAACCTCACCCCCCCACTGGTGCATAGGCCTATCCACAAGTATGGCTGTATGCTGGACCGGTCGTCAGTGACGGGTATGATCCAATTGCAGTGGTACCAACCTAAGACAGGAGGCTGACGCCTAGAGGTCAGTTCATCCCATGACGGGTAAGAACCGTATGTTGAATTGGACAACCTACCAGGCACGGTCCCTAGCCACATTGCTTATTGCTTAATTAATCAGAAGGGGGGAGATGCTGAGGGCCATTGCCAAGTAGGAATGACACATGGCAATTTCTTTGTCAGCCTACCCCATGTTGCTTAGAGGAAGGACTCTCCATTGTGGAAATGGGCTTGCCTTGGACCCAGGTCATTTGCAGTGAAATTGCATGTATGCTTGAGTAAGGTGACCCTGCTCAAGGACCAGGGCGGATCCAGGTTTAGGGCTCTCCTTGGGTTTAGGGCGGTTCCAGGTTTAAGGTGGACCCTGCTGGGAATAGGGCGTATCCTGCTGCCTCCGGCGCGCCCATTCCTTGAGTTCCCTTTGAGTTCTCGCGGGATTCAGAGAGTATTTGGGATTCAGAGCCCCGTGGAGTACGTGGATTTTGCCTAGAACGTGGATTCCCCCAGAACCTGTGTGTAAAGTGCCGGTGACAGTTTGAGAATAAAGAGTTGCTGTTTGAATCTACAAGGTGTGTGGTGGCTCGTGATTTTGTGCCCATCCAGACTGCGGCAGCCAACAAGATGGAGATTTGGTCCTACTTTTTGTTCTAGTAGGCACAGGGTCTCTGGTCTAATGCCGAGGTCCTTGAATCTCATGCTTACTATAAAACAATAGAACCAAACAGGCTGCCCACGATCCCATCACACAAATACGCCAACAGTGAGCAGACTGGTGCTTTCCCATTTCCAGGGCATACCTTCAAGTAGAGTTTTAGTGTCTACAATTTCACTATCTATATTTCTCAATGTTGTCATAAATCTATGGGGAACAGTTACTGTGCTAATCTAGCCACGTGGACCTTGCAGCTGTCCCTCCAACTCACCAGGCCTGCTTCAGCCTCAGGGCCTTTGCACCGGCCATTCCCTCTTCCTGGAATGCTCTTCCTCTGGCTTCCCCCCTCACCTACTCCCACAGTGGGCTGCTGCTTGAATATTTGGTGTGGCTCAAATGTCACCTCCTTAGAGGGGCCACCTTACACGGCTGCGGTTGAAGGTGTTATGGTCTGAGTCTTAGCACAGCCTGTGTTTGCCTGTTCACCTCCTGTCTGTCTTCCAGGAACCCAGCATTGGGTCTGGCTTGTTCACTGTAGTATCCCCAGCCCTGGAGCGTCCCCACCACGGTGTGTGCTTGACAGCTGTTGCTGGGCGAGTGGACGGGAGAGAGGATGGCTAAGTCCAACGCGTGGAACATTTGGCCCAGATATGTCCTCGGGATTAGTCCATCTCCTGCTCTGGGTCGCCAGTCAGAGGAGTCTTACTTCCATCTTGAGAGGTGCTACCACTCGCAGCTGCAGTCCTGCCAGTCTGAGGTTGGTCTGAACTGTCTGCCAAGGGGTGTTGGAAGTCTGGTCCTCAGTCGGGAGATGGCGGGACCTTTAAGAGCTGGGGTCTACTGGGTGCCCCTGGGTCACTCAGGGTGCTACCTTTGGAAGGGATGGTGGGACTTCAACTCTCCGCCTTCCTCTTTGGCCATAGGATGTCCTCCCACATGCACTCCTGCCATGGGACCCTCCCCAGAGCCAGTGCCATACTACTTGGACTCTCAGTCTCTAAAACTAATAGCTCTTTTCTTTATAATGTTAGCCTGCCTCAGGTGTTTTGTTACAGCAACAGAAAACAAACTAATGTAGAAACCACTACTGCCACTCCTGGGTAAATTTTTACATAGATGGAATCATGTGACATGTGTCCGCCTTATTCTTTTATAACAAAGATCAAATCACCAGCAGCTCTGGGCTCTGCCTCTAGACCCACAGTCAGCCCTCCTGATCCAGATGTGGGATGCACATCCTTGGAGTCACGCAACCACAGATGGAAATATTAAAAAAAAAAAAAAGGAATCGCACCTGCCCTGAACACGAACAGACTCTTTTTTCCTTGTCCTTATTCCCTACACAGCACAGCACAAGGACTCTGTGCATGGCTGAGGGTTTCTGAGGCAGCCACCACGATTCAAGGCCTGCGGAAGACGCGGGCCACGCACACACCACGCTTCCACCCCGCACCCGCGCACCCCACACGTGGCGCTCGGAGCGGGTCCGAGGGGGTCGCGAACCACCCGCTGTGGCCATCGAGGGGCCACCGCGCAAGTTTCTCCAGCCCACCCCGCTGGCCGGGAGTGGACACGCCCTGCCCTCCCGGCTCTCATTTAGAAAACAGAATCCACCGGGTTTAGCTCTCTACAAACCAGAGCCCCGGGTGGAAACGCTCCCCTCCCGCAGGGGAGGAAACCGAGGCTTGGAGGCCGGGAACCAAGCCCCATCTCCCCACCCGCCGCCCACAGCCAAGGGCTGGCGCTCACGTTGTCGTGGCTGAGCATGACGCCCTTGGGCAGGCCGACGGTCCCCGAGGTGTAGATGATGACCGCACACTGATTCGCTTTCTGGGTCTTGATGACCTGGTCCAGCTGCGTGTCAGGAATGCTGTTGCCAAGTTCCATGAAGTCAAGCCACTGTGCATGGACAAGAGAGCCCAGGATGGGGGCCGCCGGCTCGGGGGACCCACCCACTGGCTGGCCCCGCCAAGGTCGGGCTCTGCTCCCGCAGGGCTCCAGGCCCCTCGAAAGCTCTGCGCCTCCCAGTGCCGTCGCCTCTTTGGGCCTCAGTTTCCTCATTTGTGAAATGGGAATGATTTCAGGACCCACTCCTGTGGAGGTTCCCAGCGGTAACAGAATCCACTCATGGAGGAGGAGGAGGACCAGGAGGAGGACCAGGAGGAGGACCGGGAGGAGGACCGGGAGGAGGAGGAGGAC